GGAAAGCAATGTCAAGTCCACACTTTTTAAGCAGCGGTTTTAATAAAGCCTCCTTCCAATCGCTAGCGAATTCGCCAGATTCGAATGACAAGTTAATCATGTTCGTGATCACAGGTAACAGCACATCCAAAACCTCTAGGACTACCGAAGTAGGCATTGGATCCAGCGGACATGATTTCTTGGCAGCTTTCTTGATGAGCTCAGAGACTTGCTCTTGAGACAACGTTTTAAAATTGGCAAACGTGACACCTGCACACGTATCAGAATCAGCGCACCCCTTTTCTCCGGCTTTTGACATCTCCAAAGAGCTCTGCATATCAATTAACTGATTAATTTTATCGATCTTCTGCATGAAGAAATTTCCGAAATCGTTGGCGAGATCATCTGGAGCTATATCCTTTGGAAACGACACCTCAGACGGTTCACACAGCAGCGACTTGGTGGTGCGAAACAAGTTCCGTTGATTCTGTTCTCAGCTATGAGATTAGTATAATACTCACAGCGCGCGCCATTCATAACAAACGTTGCGCGATTTCGCGCGCCTTTGAAAGCGCGAAAGTCCTGCTGGGATTTTGTCCTTCGCCATTTCCTTTCCGCCTTCCGCCTCGTCCTTATAGCACACTTAATCTCACTGTTAAACCACGGCAATCGCTGCCTACAGACAACCACTTTCTCCTTCATCGGCGCATGCTTGTCCAGAAGAGATGTTAGTGTCGAATTGTAACTGGACGTTAGCTCATTAAGGTCACTGTATTCTCTTGTGCAAAGTTCGGATTTTTCCACATCCTCGCGTAAAGCATCAAAATCAATTGCCCTGAGTTGACGATAACGAATAATCTTTGTAACACAATCAGGCTTTGCGCTGTTAAGAGAACACAAAACAGATGCGTGGTCTGAGAGATATCGGTCGGCCACAGAAACGCTAGAGATGACTGGATCATGCTCACGCGTTATCATCAAATCAAGCGTACGGCCGCTCACATGAGTTGGTACATTCACATGCTGCTTCAGTACGATTGACGCTAGTAAATCCAGAAATGCTCTTGCATCAGGGTCGTCTTCGACATCCACATGGAAATTATAGTCTCCAGTTAGAGTAAGAGACTCCGGGGATAGAATAATTGTCTCGAGATAAGAGCCAAACTCCTCAAAAAAAAAAACACACGAGGCGTGATGGGGTGTGCTTCAGAATACGGTGGGCGATAAACAACAACTAGCTTAGCTCTTAGTGAGTTAAAACTGAAAAACTGAAAGATAAAACAAAGTTTTTTCCGTTTTCTATGAGTTTACAAGTTAAATGGGAAACAATTTACCTAGTTATAGAGCAATCAGAATGCATGTAAGCAGGCTTCAGATTTATTATTTTGTTGCGCAATTTTATCTGTAGTTCCATTTTTTAAAATGTACAATCAAAAACGAACAAATGAAAATAAAAATTCATCCAAGAAAAACTTGAACCACAACCTTAATACTATATTGTTCAGTGGCAGTTTGATGCCATTTATCATTACAGCACTCACAAGCGGAAGGTGAGAGTTTGCTGTAACTGCAGACTTCACTGATACATCTGATACATGACACTGCCATGGAAATTACATATTGTGCATTCAAATATTCTTTTTTCCGAGTTACTTAAGCCTGAATTGAATCAAAGGAACAGTTGTATGGAAAAGGAGACATATTCAGCGTCATATTAAAAATTCGTTTTTCTTTTCTTTTTTCTTTTTCTTTAATATATATCTTCATATTGACGTGTAATTTTAAACTATACTCATTTGCTGTAGTTCCATTTCATTGTTACTTAAAATTAAATTTTCCTTTGTTGCAAACCCATTTATCACATTACTATGCACTCAAAAGCAATGGAGGAGAAAATCTGAATCAGTGATCAAATTTAATCACAACATGCTATGAATATAAAAGAGACACCAACAGCACTATAATCTGGTAGTGATAACAAGATTGTAGTTCTCTAGACAAGACTAAGAATAATTCCAAAATATGTGCTCTCTTGAAGGCAGAAAACATTATTTTAAGAGAAAACAAATTAAAGACCCGGCATGAAAAACAGACTAATATAAGCGCATGAAGACAAGGTTAAAAATTCCGTTGAATAATTTGACACTTTTGTTAAAAGTTTTTTTAAAACCGTAGAAATTAGTCTTAACCGGAACGCTTCAGAAACTGGCTAATCAGAAACTAACGGGGAATACAGTTCGCAATACTAGAAGAACAACTTTATGCTTAATGTAGGGCAAGATTAAAAAACTTCCGTTCAACAAAGTTACTTTGTATTTGTCCCTCTCTTTTCGAAACCTATCTTAACAAGCCAAAATATAGCATCTACGAAAAACTCTCAAGAGTTTTTAGCGTCGCAGGTTTCCGTTTTGAGGAGAAATAAAGCCACCAACTCCAGTACTTCTAACCGTCCATTTTTCAGCTGCACTGAAAGCCCTTGTAATTGGTAATTTATTCAAGCCTTTTAGACTTGACATCACATTCGCACGGGAAGTTTGCTGCTTGGGGATAAAGATGAAGAAAATATGACAATCGTCTTATTTTTTTCATTATCCTCAGTGGCAAACTGCCGCTGCGAATGTGATGGCAAATCTTACAAGCTTGAATAAATTACCTAATACAAGGGTTTTCGTTGCAGCTGAAAGTGGATCGGTTGAAGTACTAGAGTTGGTGGCTTCATTCCTCCTCAAAACGGAAACCTTCGGTGCTAGAAACTGGCAGGAGATTTCCGTAGATGCTATATCTTGCTTTGTTGAGATTTTTTCGAAAAGAGAAGAGCAAATACACAGTAACTTTGATAAATAGATGTTGGTTCATCTTGCCGGCATTCAGAATAAAGTTGTTCTTCTTGCATTGCGAACTGTATTGGCCGTAGGTTTCTGATTACCCAGGTTCTTGCAACTAAAGCTTTGGGCAAGAATACCCTTGCAGGTAGGAGATAGTCCGTCGGCAGTTTTCCTCTATTTACGTTTCAACTTTCACAAATGTGTTAGCGTTGCATTTTAAGATTAAATTTGACAAGCTATTTGTGCAGCGAGTTCTACGGTCACGATTGGCTTCAAACTTGCAGATGTAAAACCAGACGGAGCTCTGAGGCTTACTTGCGGAAGTTACAGAAAAATCTGTCTTAGGGTTTCGAAGTTATGGACAGTTTTTGTAAAAATGTGGTTTTAAAAATATGCTGATATCTCAAACGTTTTTATACCTACAAGAAAATAAATAACAGTTTCTTAAAGTGCGACCATTCTTTATTAAGGATACCAGAAATCATAGAAATCGGTCAAATAGTAAATAGATCTCTTTTTTACCTCCTGGGAGGTGGAATTACAGACTGAGTTTCGTGACCTGGGGCCCGTTTCTCGAAAGTCCCGATAATTAACGGGCCCGGTAAGCTGTCTCCGTTTACATTAAAAATCGAGGTTTCAATAGTTTTGCAAATAGCATGATAAAACTATCAGTTAGTGAAACAAAATGGAGCAGTTTGCTAGCCAGGACCCGCGCTCTTATTCTTTATATTTCGATTTGAATATTTGATTTCGGGCCCGAAAAGTTACCGGGACTTTCGAGAAACGGGCCCCTGTCCCCCATGCAATGATGTAGAAAGTGGACAAACAAAGCCCGCTTCCAGGGCCGCATTGTCTTTTTTTTTTGTTTTTTGCCGTTTTTCAACATTATTCGACGATTACTCGCAATACACTTACAATAAACAATATTGCTATAAAGACAAATTATAGTTACACACGTAATGCAAATGGTGAGAGACAGCTTCCAAGTTAAGAAAAGTTAAACTAACAACTTATGCACGACACGTTGCAGTAAACAGTATCTGGCTTAAAAAAAGAGAAAAAGGATTACAATAATTACTGCCACCGATGATATTATAGAATTACGAAAAAAAAACAGTAACCCTAATCTAACGTAACTGATGATAATATCGAGTAAAGGCTTATCTTTTTTTCATTTTTTATTTTTGCTTTTTATTTTTTCTTTATTTTAATTTTTTTTTTTTACAAAATAACATCAGTTAGAAAATAAAACTAAATAGATAAAATAAAAATGAAATTGAAAAAAGAAGAAGAAACAGAAATATAAAAGAGAACAAACAGAAAAAATGAAATAAAACTAAGAAAAAAACTAGGAAAGATATAAAAAAACTCTATGGCCCTAATGGGCCACCATACTTGTCTCCTCTGGTCCCGTTTCAATAAAATGAAAACTAAATTTACGCCTGAAAACCTTACACTAAATGTTTGTTGTACGGTCGACATTTGTTTCAGGAGGTCTATACCGAGTTTTCAAGTCTTATGAATTTTTATGAATTTGAAGGATATTTTTCTATCAACAAGACACGAACTCAGATGTTGGGCTTACGTCACGTGGTACTCAACAGTAAGCGTGATTTTTGCTTTTGCTTGGTACTTGATAACTGAGAAAAAAGTGAAACTAGGTCCTCCATGGATCCTCTTTGAGAAGATCAACTAAAAAGCGTAGCGTTAATTCGTGTTACAATTGATCTGACTAGTCAGTATAAGATCACGCGTTTGACCTGGCTCGGGGACTAATATTCTCTCTCTTTGTGGTCCGTTTTCAGAACCTACTGAGCAGATTCTTTTTACTCGACCATCTTATCAGTTCATCACCTCATGTTCTCTTCTATCACCTGCACAGATTCTGGCAGGGACTCACCCCAGTGTTCGCGGCTCACCATTCTTGGCTCACGATCCCCACACCGTAGGAACATTCCCAGTGCCTCCCCATCCTGCTGGTAAGGATTAAACTTCCCTTTATTTGATTGGCTTTTTTTAATAGTTCCCAGCACCAATACGACGTTTTACATGAGTCCATTGCGGTCAAACGTCACTTTACTTAAAGTGATTTCATTCATGATTGAATGAACTTATTAGGAGCGAGATGTTGCTTGTGGGATTCTAATTTCTACCCTTTTCTCTCTACAGCCAGTTCGGTTTTGGCGGGAGCAGTGCATGGATCCAGCCACGGTCAGACATCCTTCAGTGGATACCTCCCTCCTCGTGTTGATCCACAGCATCATTTCTCCCGTGCTACCCACACCCATCATCAGAACACCCCGTCCACCATCTGTACACTTGGAAGGTCCTGGACATATCCCTTCTTCAATGGATCTGGCCTGTCTACAGTTACACAGGGCGACTCCCATGTGGAATGTTTGTCTGTTAATGAGGTAATGGATCTGGATTCAGAGAGCCTTTCTGAAATATTATAATTAAGCAGTGGTTACTGAGCTGCCTAATCAGGAACAAAGTTGTTGATAGTTTGAACTTTAACAAATCTTTCGCTGTTCTACAAGAGTAATTCTCGTGACAAAGGTTTTATGGAGATTTGTGAGACAGTATTCATCTTCACTATCATTCCCCAAATGATAACCTGGGACCAGGCTCCTTGGTAGGGAAAAGGGGCGAATAGAATGGGACGCAAAAAATCGACGAGCAAAGCCAGCCGAGTGGGGACTGGGGAGAGGAAAAAAGAGTGGCTGGACTGGATGGACGGGGCTGAAAAATTTTAAGGGAAGACATAAAAGCAAACCCTACTGCGGAGTCTACCATGGAAACCGGAAGTAATTTTGTGAAGATCATGAGCTATTGCAAAGCCGTAGCGGCAAATCCTTCCACATCTGAAGCAGTAGTCTCCCATAGTAAAATAATTTAGTACACGGACTGCATACCTATTTTCTTACCACGAGAAACTAAATTACCGTAAAATTCCGAAAATAAGCCTCTCCATGTATAGCCCCGTCCAAATATAAGCCCCCCCCTAACCGGTAACGCAAAAAACCCTCCGTCAAATAGCCCCTCCAAATATAAACCCCCCGGGGGCTTGTACTTGGAAGATTGCCCTCAAATACAAAATAAAACAAAGCAAAAACGGTAAATTCACTTCCAACTATAAGGTTAGTCCAATCGATTTTGAAACGCAAATTTCCCTCCGTAGATAAGCCCCTCCGAATATAAGCCCCTCCAAAAATAAGCCCCTCAAAAAGGGCCTTTGAATAATATAAGCTCCGGGGCTTATTTTCGGAATTTTACGGTATGAGAACAAACTGCGAATGCTCGGACAATAGGCATGCCGTTGCCATGTCAACCGCCGTTAGGGTAGGTGGGAGGGGCGAAGTCACTTCCACTGAATTCTAGCCTTGGACCAGTCTCTGCTTGGGGGGAAAAAGGAAAGAAATCGGCGGGCGAAGCGAGTCGAGAGGTAGCCCAGGCCACCGCTAGGCTCGCTTCAGTCGCCAGTAATTTCGTATTTGACCCCGTTTTTTTCTTTTTCTCCCACTGCGAAGCCTGGTCCCAGGCTAATTGAATTCAGTTGAATTGGTCAGGAGGCGGGCAAATTCAAAGCGAGGGCCTCAATGTATCATGTCATTAGCGCGCAAACTCGACATGACGGAAATTAAACGAGTTTCTTATTTCCTACGTTACGGGATAATTATGTATGTAGTGAGAATACTGTAGTTAAATTTTGACTACTCACTTAACTCGTGTAGAACAGTTGTTGTAATATAGGAAAAAAACACGAAGCCGGAGATTCGTTGAAAAAAAGCATAAAATAATGTTGAGTGTTGATTTATAGAATGCCCTATTTAGCCGACCACAAAATAGGAGTCACGGCCGAGCGGAAAGTGCCCCACACTCAGTCACGGGCTTGGCGCTCGACTTTGTCTTCATCCTAAGCGTTCGGCTAAATAGGGAGCTTTAAAAGCAACGAAGACGGCGACGTCAAGAGAACGGCAATCAAAATAACCACATGCATCATGCTTTTTTGTACGTTTGAAGGAAACAGTTATTGCTTGACATTCGTTTGAGGTTATCAGCTTGTTTTCTTTCTTGCCTTCTCTCACGCCCACAGCCTGCGGCGGCGTTGCAGAGAAACACTCGCCCCAGTACTCACGTTGGACCGCTCCCTGTTTACGGTCAAGAAACCCCAAGACCACCTCCATTGCCTCACTATCGTGCTGGTAAGATTTCCTTTTTTTGTTCACCCCTGCCTGTTGAAACTACATCAGAATTTTACAATTTGATAAACGCGCTAAAACAGTTGGGCACTAGTAAGACAATGAATAAGGACTTCCGGTGTTTGAAGTTCATTTCCCTGTCCAAAATAGGGAAATTCCACTTCCTGTTTTTTTGCCTTCCAAGTCTTTCTTACTACCGAATTTGTGCGTTTTTATGGACCCAGACAAGAGACGAAGGATTTATTTCATGGTCAAAAATATTTTCTTGCGGGACAACCGCGGGAAATCACGAGCTGGCAAGATTTGCCCATCTTGCCCGCTCGTGAATTCAGTCGTATTACAGAAAGCTCTATAAAAATAAAAAGGAGTAAAATGGCACCTTTTTTCTCGTCTGTGATCATTTTGTTCATTTCTCCATGTTTTGTTTCGGCAAAGTAGGTAATGTTGCATCGTGAAAAGAGGGTTTGTAACTGATATTGGGAAAGGAGAAAATCTACCTTATGACTGTAAATATCTTTCATCAGTGGCTTTCACTGTACCATCATGTTACTTGTGGAATTCTAATTCCTACTATTGTCCCATTTAGCGGAAGTTCCCATTTCTGTGGCGCATGGATTCAGTCAAGACACGGCGTTGGTTGGTGTATGCCCCCCTCAACCTGTTTATCCACAGCATTACTCCCCTTATAGCAGAAGCCATCATAACAGCGGGCCATCCGCCATCTTTGCCCCTGGAAGGTCCTTGGGTCGCGTTCCGTATCCTGGTGGTTCTGGTATGTCTACCGTCACACATCCGCCTGAAATGCAGGAATGTTGTTCCCCTCATGGAACGCTGAGAAGGCCAATGCATGGATTACAACCACAAACTACAATTCCATCGGCGTCTAATCTTAGAGGTTTGGGTGTGTCTACAATCACTCAACAGCCAAGAATCCAAGAAACGCCAAGACCGCCATGTCATGGATTGCAACACCAAAGTACAATTCCAGACTTTCCGAATCTTGGTGGTTCTGGTTTATCAACCGACACCCTCCAGCCACAAATTCCAGAATTGCGTGCCTCGTATGGAACGCCTAGTCCGTCACTGCGTGAATTGCAACGGCACCATACATTTCCAGACGCATCTTATCTTAGTGGTAATGGCCTGTCTACAGTCACCCACCTACCAGGTCTCTCCGGGGGTTCTTCCCCGTTTGGCACAAGAAGACCGCAACAGTATGAGCTGCAACTGCAAAGTGCAATTCCAGGCTATCCGCATCTTAGTAATCCTGCTACGTCGTCAGTCACACACTCGTCAGTAATCCGTTTTCCCTCCGATGGAACCCTAAGGCCCCCACTGCATGGAACGCATTCACAAAATGCAATTTCCGGCGTTCCTTGTGTGACTGAAGACGCAACAGGACCACTAAGATACCCGTCAGGAATCCGTTTTCCCTCATATGGAGCCTTAAGACCAACAATGCAGGGACCGCAGCTGCAAAGTGTAATGCCAGGCGATCCGCATCGTAGTGTTCCCTTTGCGTCTTCCGTCACATACCGGCCAGTAATTCCCGGACGTTTTTCTCCGTATAGAACAATGAGATCACATCCGCCTAGTATGCAAAGTTGAATTTCATTTATGAGCGAGCACGAGCAAAATGCGGACGATGAATTTTGGTAGGAGGTCTTAGGCAACATTCCTAAGGTGTACCCTTTTGGATAGTGTTAAATTATATAAAGTTTCAAAGCTATGCCGCATTACAATAGATTTGTAGTGTGGTTATCACTGTAAATAAATTTTAACTGTAAGACACGAAGAAATGTGTAATTCTGCTGTGCAATGTGGCAGCACGGTGGATGAATCAACAAAAGAATATCTAGCTAAAGTGACGACGGCGATCTCCCCGAGTTTTCCCGAGGGGAGGGGGCGTCTGTACACAGGCTGCGTTTCTTGCAGCGCGGAGCGAGGAGTCCGAGAAGTAACCATACGTTATACATGAATTCATGACAGTCTGTGCATGAAATTCTCTTTTTCACTGTATTTTAAATATCTGTATTTAATTTTTGGAAATAATTGAGTAAACGTTTTGGACACAGACAAAGAAACTCTAATTTTGCCGTGTTATTTGTACCGCTTTTTTCTAACTGTTTTCAACGCTATAGGATGATTTCCTTGAAGTGGCCGGAATTAAAGAGAATTGGCTGCATTTTACGCTATCGAAAACTCCAGCTTTTTGACAATAATGCTCTCTTAATTGGAAATGCTCTTTACCTGTCCCGACAAAATAGGAGATTTTGGACAACAATGACATCATCTTCCCACACAGGAAAAGAATGCCTTGCTTCCCCTTGGAGCTACTTAGCCTTTTGTTAACATTTACAATACTTGTCGTAAGTTAAACTGGTCATTTTTTTCTTTCAGGATAATTATGTCATCTTACTTAATGCGATGAGCAGGGCTATTACTTCCGGTCTTGAACATCGCCAGCGTTAAATAAATGAGCCATGTGCTGAACAGTGGTTAACAAAGCATCTCATTGGGGAGGGGTACTTTATTACAGTGGCTAATCCAGACCTTCAGAGGGCGGGGGGGGGAGGGGGGCGGTCATCCAGACTCTGAGATAAGGGGGGGCCCGTCTAAAAATAAGGGGAGGTTCCGGGCCCCTCCCCTGGATCCACCACTGTATTATATTGCTGCAAGCCCCTAGGCAATCAGCACACTAATCTTTGGGCTTCCTGTGGTTTCTTGGGTGTCCCCTCGCTATTTAGGCGTTGTAACCTGGATTTATGTTTGTCAGGATGATTCTTAGCAAGTATGTCCAGAGATGTCATCATAACTTTATTATACACCCTCATTACATCATTCTAATTGCACTAAATTTAGTGCATTATTTTGCGTACAAACAGATCCAAAGTATTTTTGTATGACTGTAGTAAACTCTGTAAAACCTTGACCCAAATAACCTCAATGAGCGGGTTTTATTCACGTTGTTTTGCATTATTACAGAGGTACAATATTAAAGATTTAGATCAAGGTTTTACAGAGTTAACAGTCATTCAAAAATAACTGGAACTGCCTGTTAAAACAGCACAACAATGAAGAAGCTTATCACCTAAATACTTGTTTATAAATTATAGAACTTTCACCATCCCTATTTGAAAAATCTACAACTATATGGCTGACTTTTTGTCGCAGTAGTTTTGTTTGCTATTATTTTCCTTTGTGTCTTTGGTTATCACTATCTTTATATAGACGTTCACAAGACCCAGATTCGAGGGCATATAAAATTTGAACCAGAACTTATTCTTATCCAAGTGTCTGTCCATTCTGATTCCAAACCATTGATGTTGTCAGTATTATATGTTAACCAACTTGAAACTAAGACAATATTCTATTTTTATCTCTCAACTCAAATAGTCCTCTAAGAACACGCATCTAAACTTCTTCCATGGTCAGTTCTTCTGTTATTTCAGGAGGGTCGGAGGTGCTTAAGAGTGATGCGTGGAGGCCAATAATAAAGAATGACGCCCCTGATTAAAGAAAAATAAATGACCTTTCAACCTTTACTATTAGGGGACATAAAACGTAGTTATAACCGTAAATAGAATTTAATGTGTGGCCATTCAGTTAAAAGCTACTGAGCAGGACTTTGCTGTGATACTGTGTCTGTGGATGGCAAGAATGAAAACTCTTCTGCGGTCCTTGAGCCATGCCCTTGGGGTTGGTCAAGTGCTCAAGTGATGCAGGCTCAAACTTAAAAGAAGTTAACAATAGGCCACTTCCAAGTTTCCAAAACCCTCACTTTCAAAATGAAGCCAAGAGCACAACCTTTCTTGCGAAGAGTTTTATTTGCATGAGGTTGAAAAATCATTTCCACATCAAATGCTAAGCACTTAACCTTGTTTTAATACAGCGGCCCGTGGGAACTTGCAAATGACCTATTATCACAACTGCCCTTAGTTTAGACATAAAATTTACTTAAAGAGAGAAATATGAAAACTTAAAACATTCTTACTCACCTATAATCCAAAACACTGTTGATCCCGCAGAAGCCAAAAAAAAGAGAGGAAGGCTGATCAAAATTACAAGACCATACTGCCCCACTCGACTCAATTACCGACCTATTGGGCCACAAAAGAAATTACACCAACTACAAAACTTTCATTAAATTATTATATTTCACATTTCAAAACATGTGTTACTACCTTCCATCAGCCTGACCTCAAGGTATTCCCACACCGGCTGTAGAACACAACTCATCCAGCCAACCCGCCCTCCAAATTTTTCACCTGAACTTTACCCAAATTTTAGGAATTTTAGACGAGTTAGAGTTAATTTTTTAGCCTAAGGTTTACCGAAAAAATCAAACAGAGATACTTTTTAGTCAGCGAGGGTTGCTGACCCATACAGAAGAGCAGAAATTCTCTTGTATTATCCAGGGCCCAGTTGTTCGAAGGCCGATTAGCGCTTAACCCGAGTTTCTCTCTCTTGTATGTTCAAAAGCATTTTCTCGGATAATTTTCTCTGTTATTTTTAGAGCTTCCAATCATCAACTTGTAGACAAAAGGAATTAAACTGAAATGCTTTTCAAGCCTTCACAACTGAATTCAAATCTCCCACTAACCCTGGGTTATCTTAACCCAGCTTTGAACAACTCGGCCCAGAAGATTGCAAGGTAATTCAGGCGAGTTTCCAAGCATGTACTAAATTATGTCATAAATTACTATTAATGATGATTATTATTCATTCAAAATATTTCCCCGATTCTGATTGACTAAAAGCACACGTTTAATTCACCATAACCAGTTACTGATGGCCAAATTTGGAAGAATTTTGTGTTTAACGAGGAAATGACGTCAAAAATGCAGCCTTCTACAGGTTAATGAACCGTTAACCGAGAAGACCTGGGACGAGATTGAGTTGTTTGGTTGGCTGACACTTCACTCGTTTTAAGAGTAAGAACTACAGCTGGAACTAGGCGAAGTAATAGTTAAAAACATAGCAAAAACAGCAAGAAGACAACTCGGAGGGCGACATTTGCTATTTGGAGAATATTTGCGGAGTTGGACAAACCTAAACGTACACTATCGAAGATGAACTGAACAACCAGGACCTTAGACTACCTGAACAATCGATGAAATCGATGATCGGAAAATCATTCGATGACAATCGATTAATTACTGCTGATTAGCATCGATTGGCATCGGCCAATCGATGATCAATCGATAATCACAATAAGGTGGTCGCGAACTTCATCGATTGCCATCGATTTGCACTAAATTCATGTCTCTGTATCTTCAGGTATGGCGGGAGTGTACGCAGATCGTATATTATTTTCAAACCTCAGTAACAAAGTTTGAGAATTGTGAATGTTCATCGATGTGGCTCTGTGAAAAACAGCACAAATAATTAAGACAATTAACTTATCTCGTTGTCAGTAGTACAAACTTGATCGATTTAGCTTCGAGTTCATTCCAAAGATTCAACTGACCTGGGACGCAGTCGTCGTTCAAACACGATTAAGCTTATTGTTATTTCTTTTTCTTCTTCTTTCTTTATATGTCTGTGCAGACGCCCACGTACACCTCGATCTTCCGTGTGGAATTCCCAAGAGTGATTTACCGAGTAACAAAAAGTTTTTGCAGGCGGGCGTCAAAGGTGACTCGCACGAAACGTGTAGGGGAATAGACAAGTTTACGCATTGCTACTCGCTAGTTTTTACTCAAATAAAAAGCAATGATATTAAAATGTGTAGTACTCGATGAAATTGACAATTGAAATGTTTGACTGAATAGGTAATCGATTGATATTGGATGTTGATAACAATCTATTATGTTAATTGATCGATTCCCATCGATTATCGATTGATATTGATAATCGATGATAATCAATAACCATAAAAATTTTCGTGATCGATTGTCCATCGATTATCAATATCAATCGATTAATTGATATTGATTGTCATCGATTGCCATCGACTATCGATTTCATCGATTGTTCAGGTGCTGTTTTACGGAATGTTGCCTGCCCAATATTGCCATAGGTAACTAATATGTCTGAGCTGATACGGATTGAATCATTGTTGACAGAGAGTATTTTTAAAAAGAACAGTTACAAGCATTTTCGTCCTATAAAATCGAGATTTGTTTGAAATAAATGCATTATTTTGAAATCGACCTATGATATTTACGAGCCGTTTGAGATATCGACTATTTGGCGTCCTATCAGATATAAGGTGGGTCGTTAACAACGTTTTGGTGTCAAGAAGAATGGATACGCAGAACAAGTGTAAGGCAAGACTTGCACCCGAGTCACTGAGGTATGATCCCTCAAATTATCGAGGAATTTGTATTTCAAGTTGTCTTGGTAAATTATTTTGCTCAATTCTCAATCAAAGACTTCTCAAGCACATTCAGTCGCGTGACATACTTCATAAATCTCAAATAGGTTTCTTAGCAAATAATCGAACCGCCGACCATGTTCTTACACTACGAACATTAATTGACAAATATGTTAACTGTCACAAAACGAAAGTATACGCATGTTTTGTGGACTTTAGAAAAGCATTTGATTCGGTGTGGCACGATGGACTCTTATACAAGCTTTTACAAATAAATGTCCGAGGAAAC